AAGCCCTCACTCCCTTCTCCACCCCCGTTCAGCAGGAAGCAGTCAGAGAGAAAGCAATGTCCACAACCCCATAGAGGAGAAAGGGGGGAATGAAGGGCCCCCACCAGTAAGATGGCAAACTTCCGGCTTCTCTTCGGGGTCCTCGGTTCCCACCGGCACCACCTGAAGCCCAATCACCTCTCGCCCCCCTCCCAATCCCAGCACCTAGCCAACAGCCACCAGCTCCATAGAAGTAACACCACAATCATCCCATGCCCCTTCCCATATAACCCAGCACCTTTCCCTAATAAAGCAGAAATCTCTGGTGATTTGCTGCTGTGTGTCGCTCCTTTCCTTTCACTGCTTACTTTGGACTTTTCTTGTAATAGCTTCCTAAAACGGAATCTTAGATTATTGACTTTAAATCTTTCCCCTCTAATAAATACACAATTCAAATCTATTGGTTTCTCTCTAAGCACTGCTCTCATTGCATCCCACACATGTTGATAACTGCCTTTTCATTCTCAGTTAATTTGAAATATTTAAAGTTTCTCTTCAGATCTTCTTTGGGCCATGTGTTACTTAGAAGTTGTATTTAATCTTCAAGTGTTTTGGGATTTTCCACCTATCTTTCTGTTACTGACTTCTAGCTTAATTCCACTGTGATCTGAGAGTATATGTTACATGACTTTTAGTGCTTTAGCTTTGTTAATGTGTTTCATGGCCCATAACGTAGTCTGTTTTGGTGAATGTTCCGTGTGAGCTTGCTTCAGAAGGATGTGTATTCTATTGCCGGATGAATTGTTCTTCACATATTAATTAAATCCAGTGGATTGGTGATGCGATTGACTTTCGCTATGTACTTAACTGATTTTTCTACCGGTTGGATTTGTCCTGAAGGGAAGCAGATTACACGACACACAAATAACGTCACTTTGGCAGGTGAATTACTTTGAGCTTGAAGGCAACCAAGACACAGCACACTCAAGACAAACTTTCACCTCCCCCTTAGCTACCTAAACTATGTACCCCCTTTATCTGATTCCCATCTGTGTCCCTTATGATAAACTGGTAAATGTAAGCAAGTGTTTCTCGAGTTCTGTGGACTACAACTCTAGCAAAAGTAATCTGAGAGTCCATAGGAACCTGGTTTCCAGGCAGTCAGGAGCACAGGTAAACTGGACTTGTAATTGTTGTCAAAGTGGCAGTCTTGTAGGACATAGTGTCAGAATCGAGTTCAATTTGTAAGACACCCAGTGTCCACGGAGAACTGGAGAATCGCTCGGTGGTGTTGGAGAACACAGCAGACACTATTACAATCCCTATTTTGATACATTTAGGCCAGGCCATTTATGTTTCAAGAGCTTGATATTGATATAGTTGCACTGATACCTACCATATTTCTTAGTTTTCTACTCACCGTCCTTGCTCAATGCTTCTACATTTTCCTGCCTCCTGTAGTTTTAAACGAGCAATTGCATTTCCTATTTTCTCATTTAAAATAAACGAACTGAACTTTTTAGTGGTTGCCATGGTGCTTGCAGCTGAAAACGGACCCAGTGTTTTAAAACTATACAGCTTCACAGCAATACAAAGTGCTTCCTTGACATCTGCAACCAAGCCCTCAAACAGCCCAAAGCAAGCTCCTCAACACACTGGCCAAAAAAACAAACAAACAAAAAACCCCTCCGTTTCACAGTCACCAAAGACTATTTCAAGGCAGCAAAAAAATAACGATTCAGACAAGACAATCACATGTCCCACAAGAACCCGCGGGGAGTCGCCCCACCCTGTTAGTAACAAAGCCTGCTGCCCCCCAAGCCCCTGCTTGTTTACAAAGTGTCCCCGATGTCCGATCGCCGATGCCCGATCCCCGATCACCATCCCCTGTGCATAGATAGGCCTGCTTTTATGCTTCCCTAGGAGTATATATGCATAATGCTGCACTGACGTAGTCCAGGGCGTTCGCAACTCTACTGAGAGCTCGCGCTCAAGACCTGACAGGAAAAGAATTAGAACCCCAGTCTCCTCAGCCACTAGCATTTTAAACGGATGTTTAACAACCGTTTATTTCTCCGGGGAGGGGGTGCATCGTTCCCAGAAGTGCTGCAATAGCAGGGCAAGGCGTGGAGTGAACAACGTAAATTATTGTTTTATTTCCCTGCCCCAAAAGTAGGCTCAATGGATTGCCTTCGGATAGAGAACGCACCATACATTAAACTGGTAAGAACAGTTACTGCACTCAATTTTGACCAAAAGATGGAAAAAAAAAGTTGTCTCTGTTCCTTCCCCGTGACACCCTGTCTCTCACACTTCTTCAGCTCACGGTGAGAAACCTCACCCTCAGCCAAAGGCCCACCCTCTTCCCTAGACTTGAAAGCCTATTACAGCCCCACAACCTGTAGGACTGTTTCTCTTATTTGGGGTTTCACGCTTTTGGGGTTTTTTGGTCCCATAGTTCCCAGACGAACTAGCCACTTCAAATTTGCATGCCCCGCCCTTCCCGCCTTCGGTGCTCGCCCACTCGCCTGGAAACGGAAACGCGCCTAGCCACAAAGCTCCTTCAGCCTCGTTTCCCTGGAGAAGTCCTGGAGCGGGAATAGACACGAACAGCTTTATGGGACTTTTCTTTCAAACGTAGAGCGACGTTGAAACAGTTTTAGGGTGAACGCTCACCACCTAACATCATTTGACCGCCGTGTGTTCTATATATGTACACATACACAGGCGCAGATACAAATACGTCCGTCCCTCTCTGCTTTTACCAACCTGCCTTGCCCTGGAAGAAGTGTTTTTAAAGAGATGAGTTCAGCAACCCTTTCCTTTCTTCTCCCTAAGTTTTTTTTTTTCTTCCTTTTTTTTGAGCGGTTCTATCTGTAAATACGGGCATTTCATGACTTAAATTCTCTTTTACAGGTCTTCCAACGAAAAAAGAGAGGACTTTGTTTAACTTTTTAAACAGAATAAAACTCATTCTATCTCTCAAATACTCTCGAGTCCGAACAGTAGACCCTCTTGAGAACCTGACACCGAAGGCCTCCAGGAAGAAGGTCGCAAGGCAGGCTGGTGCCAAACAGATGGAAAACTAGTGGGTAAGAAAGGGCTAGACCCTCCCGCCTGGCGGCGCCTCTCCTCCCCTTTTTCCAATCCTCTTGAAATGTAACTTTTAAAAAGGTTAATATTAAATTACATAATAAATGCAGATTCTGCAGAACCAGCCTCCTTCTGCCTCAGCCTTCCCTGTCTATTAAGGCCCTCGGTAAAAGTACGGGAAATGTAACTGAAATTAGATTTTCGGCTCAAATAATGTTCATTGAAATCTGGTCTAACTTCCACAAAAAAAAACCTTGAAAGGGTGGAGTTTTCATTCTCAATCCCAAACTATAGGAAAAGCCCCGTCTGAAAGGAAGACACCAGAAGGAGCCAAGGAACCTGTATAACAAGCCCCTATCCATTTTTCTGCAAGAGCCAGGCAGTGACAAACATATCCACCAGGGGGCCGCATCTGCTCTTTTCCAGAACCTCGGCTGCGGTCTGGGACTTCGTTTTGGGAGACTTGTCTGTAAAGGGCTTCTGGTAGGGTAAAAGTGCACCTACGGGACCTTTACATACATTTGTTGCCCCCACAGTCATTTGAAAAGGTAGGTTGTGTTTTCTCCATTTTGTTCTTGAAGATACAAAGCTGGGATTTGAAAAATGAGTCTGCGATTCCCAAGCTGACAGGGTCTCTTGGCATCCACTCTCCCATCCCGTCTCTGCTACTGCAGGCTCCTCCCTAAGTTTGTGCGCTTAGACAGGTACTGGGCTAGGATGCATGTCCTCAGCCACTTCCTAAGTAACCTCTGCTCCCTACCCTCTGCTGTTCCACAGTGTGGACTGTCACTGGGGAAGGAATCATCTAAGCCCCCTGTTACATGCTGAGGAAACTGAGGCTCCCAGGGTGAAGTTACTTTTTCCAAGCCAGTCTGTTGGTGAGGGAGATGTCTCATCAGGATTCTCAGCACAGGTTTCAGCCCAGGAATTGAGGGGAGCCCCCTCTCTCCAGTCATCCCCACCCCAGCCTCCGTTTTTTTCCTTCAAGAATTCCCTCCTCCCAAGTCCTGAGAGTTCAGCACTACTCAGATCTTACCTAGAAATGCAGGGTTGTAAAGGCATTCCTGGCTAACCCAGTATGAGTAGAATCCACAAAGGTTCAAGGACTCCAAACTAGGGTACTCCCAGGCTAAGGGTGGATGTTTGGTTCCACATTCAGAGAACCCTCTTGAATATTTAATCCTTCCATCATGCATTCATGAATTAACGCACGATTTCCTGCCTGCCTAGGGATGTGACAGGCATGGTGCTGAGCAATGCAGAGCTACAGATGAGAAGAATCAGCTTCTGGGCTCAGGGCTTAGTCTGAGGGGGGACAGCTCTGAGGAAGAATGGTGATACAGCAGCTGGAATCTGATCCAGGTGGGGGAGCCAGTAGGAGGAAGCCGGTAGGTTACACTAGTATGGCCTTCCCTCTGGAATGCTTATGTGACTCCTTATCACTTAACCCTTGTCACCAACTGGAGCAGCCTTCCTGAGCAACGCCCTTCCAATCTAAAGTAGGTCCCTGTCCTCAGTTCCTCCTCAGCACGTCTGTTTTGTTTTCCTCAATGGCATGTATCTGAAGTTAGCTTCTCTATTCATTCCCTGTCTCTCCCCACTCGCTTCTCTAAAGTACACTCAACAAGGGTAGGTGCTTATCCATCTCACTCAGGGCTGTATGCTCAGCACCTAGCAAGCATTCCATATTTGTATGAATGTTGGAAAGCTCTCGTGAAGTCATCCCCCAATGCGCTAGACCCCAGGCTGTGATCTTGTGGAGAAAAAGAGCTTCAGAGGTGAGGCTGCCAGGAAAGATAAAGGTCATTAACAGATAAAGTCTCCCTGTGGCTAGGGTGAGGGGTGGGGGCAGGAACTGGAGTCCTCACTTAAGGGAGACAAATTGGGGTAGGCCCATGGCCAGGTGCTGCCCTGATAAGCTGGGCCCCCTCCTTGACCCCTCCCTGCCCCACCTCCTTTCCATTTGTTCATCAACACCTTCCCTGGCAAATACAAAGATGGAAGGGTGGGGTGGGATTGCGAGTTTCATCTCCTTTATCACATAATCAAGTGACAATTTCTGTCTTGGGTGTGAGGCCCAGGAGATATACCAGAAATGTTAAAGAAGTTTCAAAGATTATGGAAGAAACCTAAGACAATCTGTGTGTTTTCGGTTTCTGTGGGTTCTGTTTCTGTGTTTTGGTTTCACAGCCATTGTAACATTTGTTCAAAGCCAAATTTGGTCCATTTCTAGCTGGATGACCTTGGACAAATTATGGAAACTTTCAATGCTTCTGTTTTTGTCTTTTGAGGATAACTATACTTCTTGGGTTGAGTTGTACATAATAAAAAGAAAACACATGCAAAGTTCCTAGACCAGAGCCTACTCAATAAGGTAGTGGTTCCCAGCCTCTTGGCCTGCTGTCTTCCCCTCTCCCTCCTAACTCACCATGTTCAGCTCTACCTTTGTGCTTTATTTTAGCTCTTGCTGTAATCTGCCACCTCCCAACATGGGGGTGTAATAAACTAATTTCCTGAGGCCTTGATGTCTTCAGGAATTCAGAGAGACTCCCTGCATCACTTGAGGAAACAACTGGCTGGTTTTGTAGCAGGGAGGAGAAGAAGGCTGTGGCAAGACAGGCTGGTGCCAAACAGATGGGAAACTAGTGAGCGAGAAAGGGCTAGACCCTCCTGCCTGCCGATGTCGCCCCTCCCCTTTTTCCAGTCCTCTTGATATGTAACTTTTAAAAAGGTTAATATTGAATTACATAATAAATGCAAGAATCCAGCCTCCTCATAAAAATGGAATTTTTGAAAGTACATTTCATTCTCCTTTAATCCCCTCTTCAAGTTTACCTACCTCTTTGCAGGTAATCACTGCATCTCCTCCTCTTTAGGGCTGCTCAGACTGCATCAGGCTGCAATGGCTGGGAAGATAACACCCAGTCCTGTCCCCCTCCTAACCAGTCCTACACAGGACTACTTAACTTCTAGAAACCTTTCCAGCAGCTTCCAGCTCACACTTTCCCTCCCTTGAAGTCCAAGTGCTTATCTCACTAAGTACCCAGTGTTCCCTGTCAATAACCAGTCTTGCTTCTCTCTCACTATAGTATATAAGCCCTCTGAGGCTAGGCCCTCCTCTAGAGCTCCATAGTTTCTTTAGCTCATGCAGAGCACACCGTATGAATGCCCTGTGGAGTGAAGGATTTGGCCTTTGTTTGGACACGGGAGGCCCTTGGTGTGTCTTGGGGTTAATCAGGATGAAAGGCCTGGAGAGGTAAAAAAAACACTAATGGCAACGTTTGACTAAGATGGAGAGCTGAAGAGCTTAATATTCTCATTTCCACTGCATCCCTCTCCCCGAGACAGAGATATTCACCCCAACTGCACCAGAGTCTACTTGAGAGATGCTGATAAGTCATACTTTAACTTCCCTAATTCAGTGTTCAAGACTGTGTGAACCTGGAACCAGCATTTGAGGGATTTCTGCTAGGGATGCCTAGGTGAGAGGATGGTTAGCTAAGCAGCCAGGGGCCAGACACTGGACTCAGATCCTGGCTCAGCCACTTCTAGCTATGTGACCTTAGATAAGCCACTGAACCCTTCAGAACCTTCTACGCCTATAAAATGCAGACCATACCTCATGGGCTGTTGTGAGGATTGCTATGGGTAGTGGGCTCAGGCTATTTTACGGGTTCCAGGTTCACACAGTCTTGAACACTGAATTAGGGAAGTTAAAGTATGACTTATCAGCATCCCTCAAGTAGACTCTGGTGCAGTTGGGGTGAATATCTCTGTCTCGGGGAGAGGGATGCAGTGGAAATGAGAATATTAAGCTCTTCAGCTCTCCATCTTAGTCAAACGTTGCCATTAGTGTTTTTTTTACCTCTCCCCGCCTTTCATCCTGATTAACCCCAAGTTTAATTCCAAATATTAAAATATGGCAGAAAAGATAAAATGAGACGGTCGCAGATTGGGCCCACGTTCACCACAGCACGACCTGGGTTGACGCGCACTCCACGCCCTGCCCCGCCCCTCTCCGCTACCACGGGGCTGCTGATTGGTCCACGCAGAGTGAGGTCACGCAGGGCTTTTAAGGCCGATCGCCAGAGCCGCTTTGCAGTGGCAGCGGTGGCGGCTCCCTGGAGGGACTAGAGGAGGCTTGTGTGGCGGTTTGTTTGGCTGGTCGGAGGCGCGAGGTGGGAACGCTGCTGACGGGAGGTAAGCGGGCAGTTCGTGCGTGCTGAGAGCCCAGGCGCGGGGTTTGAGCAGCCGGAGTTGGCTGTCAGAGGAAGGCGGCGGGGGAAGTGCCAGCGGGCGGAGAGGGTCGCGGTGTTAGGAGGGGAATGTCAACCGTGTGGGGAGGTGAGGGCGAGTGGAGCGGGCCTCCCTCTACGTTCTCTGCGCCCGCGCCCAACTCCTAACTCGGGGGGCGCTACAGACCTGCCCCTCCTGCGAGGATTCTCGCCTGGGCCGAGCTGAGTCGGCTACCGTAGCGCCACAAGCTGGGAGTTGGGAACGACTGTCCGCCGGATCCGGATTGAGGTCTCACGCCTCACTGAGTGTCACAGGACCTGGGGGGGTTCTCTAGGCTTCATTGCCCTTGTAAGGGCCCCCAGAGAGTGCGGAGAAGCCTCTGTTACACTTGTATCTGCTTAAAATAAAATGAATTTTTAAAAAGACGGAAAGAAAGTGTCTGATTTAAGAAAGTATCAGGAAGTTGCACATTTCATTTTTAGTATTAAACATCTTTTTTTTCTCTCCCGTGACCTTTCCCTGTTTAGGTAACTCAGCTGTTGTCCCCAGAGCCTGCAGTTACAAGGCCTTCTTCCTGCCTCTGCCGTGAGCCCTAAGACCTGCCAGAGCTCACCATGGGGAACCACTTGACAGAGATGGCCCCCACAGCCCCCTCCTTCTTGCCCCACTTCCAGGCTCTGCATATCGTGGTCATTGGGCTGGACTCAGCTGGAAAGACCTCCCTCCTCTACCGCCTCAAGTTCAAGGAGTTTGTCCAGAGTGTCCCCACCAAAGGCTTCAACACAGAGAAGATCCGGGTGCCCCTCGGAGGGTCCCGTGGTATCACCTTCCAAGTGTGGGATGTTGGGGGGCAGGAGAAGCTGAGACCACTATGGCGCTCCTACACACGCCGGACAGATGGGTTGGTGTTTGTGGTGGATGCTGCTGAGACTGAGCGCCTGGAGGAGGCCAAGGTGGAGCTACACCGAATCAGTCGTGCCTCGGACAACCAGGGTGTGCCTGTGCTGGTGCTGGCCAACAAGCAGGATCAGCCTGGGGCACTGAGCACTGCTGAGGTGGAGAAGAGGCTGGCAGTCCGAGAGCTGGCAGCTGCCACTCTCACCCACGTGCAGGGCTGCAGTGCTGTGGATGGGCTGGGCCTGCAGCCAGGTCTTGAGCGCCTATATGAGATGATCCTCAAGAGGAAGAAGGTGGCCCGGGCAGGCAAGAAGAGACGGTGACCCACAGTCACCCCCTCCTCCCCTGTAGGGGTCTGTGCACTTGGACAGCCAGGCAGAGCTGGCTGCCCACTCAGCTCCGGGTGCAGGACCTGTCCACCTCAAAGAAGGATGGAGGGTCCTGTTTTGGTGCAGTGTTGGAGAAGGGGTGGGAGATGGGATGTCTTCTCACACCTTTCCCTCGTCCTCACTTCTGGAGAAGGTGGGGACTGCAGGACTGTTGAAGGCTTAAATGTAGACTGTGACTACCTCGACCCTGTTTTTTGTTTTTCTTTGGCTTTTTGATTAGGTGTGTTTTGGGGCAAAGGAAAGTTGCTTGGAGAATGCATGTGGGATGAACAAGAACTATCTGCCCCCAGCCCCAACCTGGGGAGCCTCCCTGGACTGCTTCTCTAGGGATGCCAGTCACAATTGCCTTTATTTGTGTCTGTCTGAAAGTGCCAAGAGCCCCCCTCACATTTGTTGATCTACAATTGTTTTTATAAGCCATGTTTGTCCTCTATTGTTAAATATTTTTTAGCATTTGCCTGTAAGGTATTAAAGACTGGCGATACTGTAGCTCTACCCTTGGTCTGGCGTTTTCTCTCTCCTTGCCTAGCTCCAGTGATGTCCAAGATTTGTATGTGGGCAGGTGGGAGGGGGGACTTATCTTGAGGCTGAATTTACAAAGCAAGGACACTTATAAAAATCAGGTAATGCGTTCACAGAATGGCTGGTGGAAATTGTAGAGGGAGTTGAAACCCACCCCCAAGCTGTTTTTCCTGATCTCTGCAGGTTTATTTTGGGGATGGGGGGCTTTCTTTCTCCTTTCCTCCCCTCACACAGTGGCACTTACCTGTGCCTGTTATCACTGGTCCTTTCAGATTTAGCTTCAGATTTGCTGATCTGAGCTGGTCTTGGGTCCTTGCCCTTGAGGAAACCTCCTAGGTCTATATAGGTAAGTCCTCAAAGAACCATTCAGTCCCCATCCTCCCCTTCTCCCCAGCACTCAGGTTGATCTGATTTTTTTTCCACCTGGGGAGATTCCGTGAGAATGGAAAGTAATTTCTTTCTGTCCTTAAGCCACCTCCCTGCTCAATCCTGCTGACTGCAATTCACTGGAAGCAACAGCGGCAGGTGCTGGGGAAGCCTGGGCTGGATTGAGCCAGCCTGGCCTTGGTGACTAAGCCCTGAGTAGCCCTCTCCGGAGCAGTTAGCAGTACCTGTGCCTGGTGGGAGTGTGGACGTCCACCCCGACGCTGTGTGAGAGAGAGAGGGAAGGTGTAGGCCACCCATGTTAGTACTGATAAGAATAAAATGGAAATGTGAGGGCCTGCCTTCCCCTGTCTGGGTTTTCAGGGCTACCCCCTCTTCACCAACACCAGGGCCAGCTATGTCTGAGATAAAGTACAATCAGATCCTCCTAATTTGGCTGGGAGTAGTGAGCAAAAACCAAGCACAATTCTTTCCAGCCCCCAGCCCCATAGTCCCATCCCCACCCCTTGTGCAAATAATGGGATCCTCAGCAGAGCAGTCCAGAGTCTCTGCTCCAGTATATCAGACGAAAGGATCTGCAATGGGGAGAAGGTGCTGGCAACGCTCTCCTGGGGGAGCCTTCCTAAGGAACATGCTTCTTCCCAGCCCGGGGGCTGCCAGAAGCTGAGTCTTGCTGAGCCTGGGCCAATTCAGATTTGCACACACACACACACACTCCCCCCCAACTGTGGCTGGAAGGACGGGGAGGGGATGTAGGGAAGGTGCATTGATCCGGAAGGGTGCCCAAGTGTGCGTCAATGTTGGGGCCTGCTTGACAGAGCTGCTGGGCTGGTTCTGCTGGGGACACGTGCTACCTTGCCCCTTCTACACACACCTTGACTCATCTCTCCCAGTCCTCAGGGCAGAGTCCTCCTCTGCAGCCCAGGAGTAGGCTGAGGAAGACCTGGCTGTAACGACCCCCTGTCCTGCTGGGAGTTCTTCCCTCCCCACTCCACCCCAGTTCTGCTCTTTTGTCTCAAAATCTCCAAGGGTATATTTTTTCTATTTCTGGTCACCTGGGAGACTGAGGTCTCTGGATTTGGAAGGACTTATACAGAGGCAGTGCCCCCACCCCGTCTGTAACAGAGGGACCTCCATGGTGCCAGCACCTGGTTCTGGCTCTGCCAACCACCCTGCCCTCCTTATCTGGTTCCCTGCTCTCCCAGGCTCCAGCCCTGAGCAGGAGCCATGGTCCACAGGAGACTTGCAAAAGTCCCAGCTCTTCCTTCATCCCTCTGGCCTGACTAGATGGTGGGGATGGAGGAAGTGGGGGATGGTGGCATGTGAGAGTTAGATGGAGAAGCCGGTTGCTTTGGTGAGGTTGTGGGGAGAGGGGCGCACAGGGAACTTGTGAGTAGAAAGCTATGTTCTGGCTGGGCTGGGGTCCAGAGCCTTGGAATGATCCTCCCACCTTGGTGCGTCCTGCCCCAGGGATTCTGCGGATTGAGCTCTGGGTCACTGGCTTAGAATGGGGATGGGATCAGGGTTGGGGATAAGTTGTAGTTTCCTTGTCCCTAGTAGAATTTCTTTGAAACCCTGAGATGGATGCAGCAGAGACACTGCCCGAGGGCAGAGGGTCTCAGGGGGCCAGGAATGGTGGTTGGGGCCTGGTTGCCTGTGAGGTGAAGTTGAAGGAAACCAGTGGGCCCAGAGTGGGGGCTTTTTTCTGAGAGGCCCTTCCCCTGTAAACCACCTCTGCTCCTTGTGCAGTTCAGATTGTAAAATCCAGATGAAGGGCACTTTCCCAGGTGCTCTGCCCTTCCCCCCAAGCCCCTCCTCATGACGGCAGAGATGGCAGTGGACCCTCACCTTCCCACGCCCTTCCAGTCCTCCTATGCTGCCTGTGCTCAAAGGAAAGAAAGAACAGGAAGGAAAGAAGTCCTCAGGCCTGGAAGGGGCAGCCACTTGCCCAAGGACAGACAGCTATTCGTAGTGCATCCAGATCCTTCCTCCCAGGCTGGATCTTTGTACTTCCAGGCAACAGGAGACAGGAGTTGGGCACCAAGTCCATCATCTCAGAGCTCTGGCCTCCCCCTGATTCGATTAAGAATAGCTTTCTGCTCTCCATCCCCCCACTCCCCTTCCTGAGGGGTAGGAGCTTTATTTGTAGAACTGGCTGCAAATCTGGTGAGAAGCCCCCACCTTCCTTTCACGCTGATCATGTGTTATTCCAAGTCTTTCTTGAGATGAGCACTTCCACGAGGACATGGGAAGCACTGAATTCCACTGAAGCTCTTGGAGGGTACAGGACAGCCTGGTCTCCCACACAGACATTTTTGAATGGAGACCAGTGGAAAGGGAGGGAGTGAAGACAGTAGGGGAGGCCCAGGCCAGTGCTGGGCTGTATGGGGTGGGCAGTCTGTAGCCACATGTAATTTCCAAGGCCATCTGCAGGACCATGGTGGGGAGTTCGTGGGTGGATGTCATGGGACCTCCTCTTCTGGCTAGTCCAGAGGAGGGTATTTGTTCTTCTTTCCTTTAGCTTTTTTTTTACTCTTCCCCCACTCCCCTGCCTTATTACAAAAGTAACAGATCTTTGTGGTGAAAGAAACTTAGAAACTTTGAAAATGGACACCCCCATAATCTACTCTTGAGAACTAGCTAAGCACTGTGAACAGGTTTTTATATGTAATCTTCCAGATATTTTTTCTCTGCATATACTAAAAAGGTATGTATATGTAACAGACATGGGGATTATATAATTGCTGTCCAGTTTTGCTTTTCTCATTTATATCTTGGGCATTATCCAGTATCAGGAATGACATAGGGATTTTTCTCATTCTTTTTGATGGCTACATGAGATTCCATTGTATGAATGTGCCATCATTTATTAATTAAATCCTCTATTAAATCCACAGTGTGTCCACAGCAATGAACCTCCTTGGACGTACCTCTTGGCACACTGGGGAGAGATTTCCTCTAAAATAAATTCCTAGAAGTGTAATTGTATGTCAAAGGGTATATGTACTGCAAGTTTTCAGAGACATTGCCAAAATGTATATTTGTATAGAGAGGGTTTGATGGGAAGGAAACTTAGTTCAGCCTCCTCACCCTCCATCCTGTTGCCAAGGCCTCTCCAAGCTGAGGGGGGGGGGGGTGTAGGTGGACAGACACTGTAGTGCCCTTGCTTTTGGGGAGGTAACAAAATTACCAGCAACTTGGCAGGGGATTTGCAGGCATGGGGAATGAGCTGTGGTTCACTTTCTGGGCCTGGGGATCGGGCCCTGCTGGGTTCTGCCTGGCTGATGGCGGAGGTGGGCAGATGGTGAGGACTCCCTAAGCATGAGCTTCTCATAGACGTCAGGCAGAGTGGGCGAAACAGCTCCCGAAATAAATCCCCAAGACTTGGCTCAGGGAGGGAGTGAGGCTGAGACAAGATGTGCATGCTCTGAAGGGAACATGGAGAAGAGAGCTCAGCCCAAAAGAGGGCAGCCAAGGCCCTGGACCTCCCCCAGGGTGAACCCCAACTCTTCAAGTGGGGAGCCTCCACCAGCTGCTATAGCTCATAGGCTCCTGAAACAGGAAGCATAAGCCTGAAGTATCTCATACCTTGGCCACTCTGGGCTGTCCAGGGCACCATTGCTCTGTTTAGCTCATTTCTGGCCCTGGATCTATGCGCCTCCTACATGGAGTGTGGTAGTGGGGAGGAGGAAAGCAGGAGGACTTAATCTTTTTAGCATTTCTCACCCCTTCCTATTCAATCTGGTAAAAAGTTTGGTGCAGGAGGGCAGGTATGACAGCTGGGTTTTAAAGATTGCTGAAAGTGAGGTTTTGTGCTTTGGATTGTGTTTGTTTTCACAAGATTATCCATTGCTTCCATTCCAGATGCTGACTTATGCTTAGGAAGAGAGAAGGCAGAACTGCTTACTCGTTCTCTGAAACTCTCCAGTCTGACTGGGAAGGAATAGAGCCATCAGCCTGACCAGGCAGCACCTCAGAAAGTGGCCCATAAAGCAAGGTTGGCGAGTTTATCTGGGAAGCCTTCCTGGAGGAGGTAAAGAGAAGAAGCAGATTTAGAACACATATTGAGTGTTCTGATTAACAGCGGACTTGCAGGACCTTGGGCTTGGGAGCACTTTTTTGGCCCTACCTCCTGCTCAGGAAGAAAGACCTGAGTCTGAGGTTTAATAGACCCAGTTTCGTTCCTCCCTTCCCGGTAATTAATGACCTGCTTAGGACACTCCCTAAAGTCTGTTCACCACTCCCCTAACCCAGCCCCTCCCAAGGTCACCCCAGGAGAATCAAGCTAGATTCCCACTCTCCTATTTCAGAGGAACTGAGTGTGGCAGGTGTCAGGGAAGGGATCCCCCAAGGGACTCTAGACCTGTGCTGTCCAATAGGACAACCACCAGACACATGGTGACTGAGCATGGGAAAAATAGCTGAACTGAACTGAGGTAGGCTGTAAGTGTGAAAACATAACAGATTTGAAAGATAGCTTATAAAAAAGAATGTAAATTATTTCATTAATACTTTTTATATAGGGTATATGGTGAAATGATAATTTTTTGGATATATTGTGTTAAGTAAAATGCATCATCAAAATTAGTTTCACCTGCTTTTCACCTATAAAAAAAGTAGCTATCAGAAATTCTAAAATTACATACATGCTCTGCATTCTATTTCTATTGACAGTGCAGGTCCAAGTACTTGTGGGAAGGACCATGATAGGTAAAAGAATAGGAGATTCATTGTTCTTCCTTTCTTCTGAAATTGGAAGTGAGACAGACAAAACTGCAGCAGTCTGGAAAGGGGGTAGACTGCAATAATGCCTTCTTGACAGGGACAGCTGAGAAACCTGAACGATGAAAATACTCTTTCCTGGAAAGCTTTGTGAAGACTTTGCACATCTTGAATTATCTTAAAACATTATATCAAACTATCATTCTCCCCTAATCCAAACCGGATTACTTAGCAGGCAATTTCCCCTAGCTTCATTCAGGGTACTTTTCCTCAAATGTCTATTTGAGGTTCACCTCAGATACCTGGAATCCATCAAAAATTGCTAACGTGATTTTACTCAATAGTTTCTGATCTCCCGTCAGTCTGCTGTGCTGGCAGCTGCAGCGTCAGTGGACTGGTCTTTCATCCTCTTGGCCTCTTCTGCTGTCATCATCTGTCTAACCCTCCCCTACCACCTGACATGCTGGAGCAGAGAGAGGATCCAGGCAGGTTGTACTGAGGGGGAAAATGCCAGCTGGGGTCTGGATAATCCACAAACTGGATTATCTGCCCTTGAGTTTGTACATATAGAAGTAAGTGGCTTATATGCAGACAGGATGTACTAGGATGAGCCAAGGGGATCAGGTTAACACTGTGTGTGTGTGTGTGTGTGTGTGTGTGTGTGTGTGTGTGTGTGTGTGTGTGTGTGTAAGTGGGGAAGGACAGTCCTATAATAAACTCCCTACTTGCTTACTATGTCCCATCCTGAACATTCATTCATTCAATCACTCATTCTTTCAATCAACCACATATTACCATATTTAGCATTATTGTGCACTGACACACAAGCGTAGGCACTGGAGTTAAGGGGCAATCTGTACACAAAGAAGGTGTCCTGGATCCAGCTTCCTCCATGGAGAGCCTGAGACAGGCGTAGATTCAGGGGGCACATGGTTTATTGAGGGCAAACTTTCCGTGGAAGGGAAGTGAGGGGAGCGGGATGGAGCAGGGGAGGGGCAAAGGAAGGATGAGCTCTCACAGCTGGACTCTGATTTCAGCTCCATCCTGTGGGGAAGTTCCTGATGGAGCGCTGCACCACAGAGAGATTCCCCCTGAAGTAGGGCAGCTGGTCTTTTATACCCTCTGCAGGCAGCTGATTGACTGCTGGTAGCTCAAGTCTCCAGCAAAGAGGCAGCCAGGAGCCACTGGGGCTGACACTCACAGCCAGTAGAGGGGATCTGGGTGGGCCATCAAGGGGCACCATGCAGGGTTTAGTGCCAGAAGATAAGAGCAAGCGACCCAGGCAAGCCGTAAGTGCTGATTGCTTCCCTTGTTTGTCAACCCAGTCCTCTTTCTACTCTCACTCTCGGCTTCAGCCTGAGCTCTTATCTGTCCCAGTCCGGCCTTGTTTCTCTCTCCATCTGTTTCTTTGTCCCTTCTCTCCTGACTCTGTCCTTGGATTCTGCCTCTGATCTTGCCCTCTCTTTTCTGGAGGTTTATCTGAAACTCAGAATGAAATGGTAAATTTCTTCAAGGGCCTCCAGGAAGCTGGGACTACTGCGTTTCCCCTGTTGACCTCTTCCCTGCCAACAGGTCAGCTGAGCCCCACTGCTCCCCTAAACAGGAAGCATTGGTGTTCCAGGGGACGTCTGAACCAAACCCCAACTCTTGGGTGCTCCCTTTACTGGGTGTATTCATTCTCACTTCCTCTTCTCGTGGAGAAAGGACAGTTCAGGAGAAATTTATTCTCAAGGCTTGACTCCTACTTAAACATCACAGGATATGTTCCCTGGAGGGGAAGGGTGGGATCTGGGCTGGCTTCCTGAGAAATATCAGAACAGAAAGGACGCCTCCTTTCCCTGCACACTCCCAAATTCAAACAGGGACTGGGAGAGAGGAAGAGATGATTGTTTCTGCCCGAAGGCAGGGGGATAGATGGACTGACCTCTGAAACTTCCTGGCACAACGCTGTTTGTAGAGGTGCCCGAATTCTGAGGCAAAAGCAAGAGAGAAAAAGAGCATCTCTGAGGGCATTTGGCTGGTCTTTTAGACCCCAGATCACGCTGAGAGGGTCCAGTGTTGTCATGTCCTCCACATCTCCCTGTCCCTAGCTGTGGACTTCTGGTGGTATGTCTCTCTCTCTTTCTCTCTCTCTCTCACACACACACCCCTTTACATTGTTGAAACCAGAGGTGCTGGCTCCAGGGAGGGGAGTAAGGAAGAGCTGTGGACAGGTGTGGGTGGCCACACGCCTCTCCTTCTGGGAGGCGGCACTTCCACTACACCTCCACAGGTTTCATCTGAACCTCACCCTAGCCTTGGCCCTCTGTTTTCAAGGTGGGCAGGAGGCGTGGAGGAGCTGAGCTGAGCTGGCCCAATGCCAACAAGGAAAGCATTTGTAACAGCCCCTTGAACTGTCAGCAAATCAATCCTCCCAAGAACCAAATCTAAAGGAAATTCAGCTTAAAGTACAGTGGTAGGAATTGAGCCACTATGGTTGGATGCTGGTCTGTGATAGTTGAGAGAAGCCCTAGAGATGTTTAGAGGAGAACCGATCCACCCTGATGTGTGGGCCAAAGCAGACACAAGGACCAGACAGCTTCCAAAACCAATTGGAAATCATTTAAACGGAGCATTTTTGGATTATCTGTGCAATGCTTTTCTCTATAGGAAGTTACGGTTTAACTACACAACTACACCCATCCTCCTCTGAAGGCAGGTGTGGGCTAGGATAAAGTTTGGGGTTTAAACAGGGAAAAGCTCCCCTGGCAGCCCAGAGCATTTAGCATCTCTAATCAGGGGAAGGGACTGCCTGACTGGACGTGTCACCCCATTAGGCTGGGGCTGGGGCTGTAATTGTTGAAATTTGTTGATGAATGCAGTTTCCAGCTGGCTTCTCTCCCCGTGACAGGCCTCAATTACAGCTGCCAGGGGGATCTGTGTGGGAGGGGGAGTTGGACGTTGTTTCCAACTGCTTCTCCAGGCCCCTTATTAGCCCCCAAAACAAGAGGGGCTCTTTAGGCCAATAAAGTATCCCCAGGTCCAGACTTACCCCCAGCAATATAGCTTCAGAACAAACGGTACTGGAGTAGAGAGGGAGAAAGGTACAAAAGGAAGGAGGCCTTCCTGCGGGTTGGTCTGTGTTGTTATGGGTTTTACAACTCAGCCAGGTTTAATTTAGTTTAGTACTTTCTCCTTTATTCTAGAGCTTCTAAAAATTCCGTGAGAAGGAAGACTTTTGAGCTAAAATGTTTATTTCTATCTTACAGTCCCCACTCCATCTCACACAGGACAAAAGACAAAACACGAGTCAGAATGATGGAGAGGGGAGAGAAAAGTGGTTCACCTAATATGTCATTTTTTTTTTGAGAGGGCTTCTCTCATATTTATTGATCAAATGGTTGTTAACAACAATAAAATTCTGTATAGGGGGGTCAATGCTCAATGCACAATCATTAATCCACCCCAAGCCTAGTTCTCGTCAGTCCCAATCTTCTGAAGCATAACAAACAAGTTCTTACATGGTGAATAAGTTCTTACATGGTGAACAGTGCAAGGGCAGTCATCACAGAAACTTTCGGTTCTGATCACGCATTATGAACTATAAACAATCAGGTCCAATATGAATATTCGCTTGATTTTTATACTTGATTTATATGTGGATCCCACATTTCTCCCTTTATTATTATTATTATCAAATTCTTTTTTTAAAAAGGAATGAGAATGTTTCTTCAAATGAAATCTAACGTAGAAGCTCAGTGTGTAAAACAAGTCATGGCCGATCCAGTCCAAGTGGAAGTGGGGGCTCTGGGCCCCCTGGGCGCTCCTCCTCCCTGGGTCCTGCCTCCCTACCTTCCACCTCCATGGCCTCCCTATGGCATCTGCAAGGCTCCGTCAGGGTGACCAACTCATCCCGGTTTGCACTGTTTTAGCCACAAAATCTTGAATCCCAAGTTCCTCAAACCTGGACAAAAGGACAATTGGTTACCCTACATTCAAAGGAGCAGAGTTAGAAAGACACTGATACAATCCCTTTGATCTATTGAAGAGACTGAGGCCAAGAGAGGTGATAGGCTTTGAAGTCTCGTAGATGATCCTCCATGCCCAGGAGTGGCCACACTGGGGGTGTGGGGAAGGTAAATTCTACGTCTTTGTCCTTTATTCCTGTGACAGGTAAGATTGTCCACCTCCAAATCTCTTTCCTCCTTTAAGATCCTTTCTTAGAAGCCTTCCTGGATTCCTCTAGAAAGTGTTATGTCCTATCTTTCAATTCTTTTAGAGCACTTAAAAGGTAGAGTCAGTTTTTATCTTGGGTCTTTCTCCCACTTGCACTGGAAGATTCCTCATTTCCTGTCTCATTTATTTGCATATCCTCAACACCTAGTGCAGTGTCTGGAATAGAGCAGACATTCAAGAGATGCTTTTAGATAGACAGATTGATCTAAAAGATAGACAGATGCTTTTAGATAGGACAGGTAGATGGGTGGATGCCTGGATGAATGGATGAATTGGAACACAGACAAATGGAATAGATGGGTGGATAGAAAAATGGAAGGATAGAAAGTTAGGTGCTGTGTTGAAGGCGTTGGGATAGAACAATTGGGCAATTTCTAGGCAATTTCCTCTGCCTTCCATTCCCCCAAAATGACCATTTTTCTTGGATTTGATTTTTGGAATATCTAACATACCTATATTCAGATGCAAGGGCCAAAACAGCTTCCCAAATAAATTAGAAGTCATTTAAACTGACCATTTCAGAATTATTTGTGCCATTGCTTTCCTCTACAGAAAGTTATGGTTTAACGACACAAACACAATATTTGATGACAATATCTCAAATAGGCAGCTGATGGCAGTGACGAATACTGTCTGAAAATAAAGCAGTTTAAAAATATCAGACAAGGGAGAGTGTAGGAGGCAGGGATAGAGGGTGAGCAGTTGATGAATATAAGTGAGCAGGATGATCAGGTGTCAGGGACTGGAAAGGCTGGACTCCTGATAGGAGGAATTGGAGCTACACATTAGAAGGTTCCAATGATCAGGATCAAGAAATAAGAGCATAAGAAGTTCTGAAAGAAAGAGGGGAATGATGTTGGTTGTGTTTGGAAACAAAACATTAGACTAAATGACTATTTGTGATTCTTTCTTGACCTACTGTTCATTCAGTTGCAGTTCATTGGGCATCCGTTCTGACCCACAGTCAGGCTAAGCACTTTCGCTTATATTATCTCAGCCCGTCATGCCTGGGGGCAGGAAGACGAATCTACACACTCTCAGATGTACACATTCTTCTTGGGTGATCACATCCACGCCCATGGTTTGAACTACAGCAGCTATGCTGATTCCCAAGCGTTCACTCATTTCTGGTCCAAGTCCCACACCTTACCTCCGCCTCACTGAGGAGTATCTCTCCCTGATGTCTGCAGGTGCCTTCAAACCAAGACATCCTACACTGAACTCATCTGTTTCCTGTCTAAACTTGTTCCTCTGCCCAGATTCCCCATCTCTGTTCATGGCACCCTCATCTGACCCACTTCGAATACTGTCTGAAAATAAAGCAGTTTAAAAATATCAGACAAGGGAGAGTGTAGGAGGCAGGGATAGAGGGTGAGCAGTTGATGAATATAAGTGAGCAGGATGATCAGGTGTCAGGGACTGGAAAGGCTGGACTCCTGATAGGAGGAATTGGAGCTACACATTAGAAGGTTCCAATGATCAGGATCAAGAAATAAGAGCATAAGAAGTTCTGAAAGAAAGAGGGGAATGATGTTGGTTGTGTTTGGAAACAAAACATTAGACTAAATGACTATTTGTGATTCTTTCTTGACCTACTGTTCATTCAGTTGCAGTTCATTGGGCATCCGTTCTGACCCACAGTCAGGCTAAGCACTTTCGCTTATATTATCTCAGCCCGTCATGCCTGGGGGCAGGAAGACGAATCTACACACTCTCAGATGTACACATTCTTCTTGGGTGATCACATCCACGCCCATGGTTTGAACTACAGCAGCTATGCTGATTCCCAAGCGTTCACTCATTTCTGGTCCAAGTCCCACACCTTACCTCCGCCTCACTGAGGAGTATCTCTCCCTGATGTCTGCAGGTGCCTTCAAACCAAGACATCCTACACTGAACTCATCTGTTTCCTGTCTAAACTTGTTCCTCTGCCCAGATTCCCCATCTCTGTTCATGGCACCCTCATCTGACCCACTCAACCCCTGAGTCAGACCCTGGGCACGTCCCTCTTCTCCCTGCCTGTCCCCAGGCTGCTCACCATGTCCAGTGATTCTACTTCTTAATCATCTCGCAG